TTGAGTGGATGTGGTATAACATTGACTGAATGTGATATGGCATTGAATGGATGTGGTATGACATGGACCGAATGTGGTATGACATTGAGTGGATGTGGTATGACATGGACCGAATGTGGTATGACATTGAGTGGATGTGGTATGACATGGACCGAATGGGGTATGACATTGAGTGGATGTGGTATGGCATTGACTGAATGTGATATGACATTGAGTGGATGTGGTATGACATGGACCGAATGGGGTATGACATTGAGTGGATGTGGTATGGCATTGACTGAATGTAGTATAGCATTGAATGGATGTGGTATGACATAGACTGAATGTGGTATGACATTGACAGAATGTGGTATGACATTGACTGGATGTGGTGTAAAATGGACTGAATGTTGTAAGACGTTGACAAAATGTGACATGTCGTTGGCTGAATGTGGTATGACACTGGCTGAATGTGGTATGACGTTGGTTGAATGGAAACTCCGGCAACTTCATCGACGTCCTTGTTGCCATGCTGTGTCGTACATTTTACAGACGCTGCACTGAGATCACCAGAAGCGTGGCGATGTGAAATCTGCCGACGACAGGGCGTTGATAGTTGTTTTTTTTTCTCCTAACACAATACAAAACCTTGCGACTTCACCCAGCATAAATATCATCATTGTCTCATTCAGACGGGCCGATGCAAAATAATGGAATGTAATGCAATTATTTTAATAACGATTAAACCCAATTTCTACTTAGTATTCTCTATAATAATCCTACGCTAGTTTGGGGGGGGGGGGCAATGATCCAATTCATTTCCTTGACCCACCTGACAGACCGTCTCCAAGGCGTTGTCTATTTTATTGTCCACTTCTTTTCCAACCTCTTTTTCCACTTCGTTCTCTATTTCCGGACCGGGCTCATCTTGGCAGCACACACATGTGGTCAGCACCAGCAGAACAAAGACAGTGGCAAGTGTGGTCAGTTTCATGTTGAGCGGTGGTTCCTAAAACATTGCAAGTGAGCGAAATCAAACATCTCCCCCTTCTGGCTTAATTTCACTTTCTAAAAATTGCGTAAAACTTTACAGAACGAGCGATCGCACCTAAAAAATTTCTATGTTATTACAAAACAAGACATTTCAAGGCATTCATTGGCTTGCCCATCGACGGAACAAACAAACAAAAAGGAATTTATAATTTAAAAAATACTTTAAAAATAAAGTGTAATTCATGCTTTTACAACAAAACAAAAAAATGAATAATAATTATAATCTCCAATAAATAATAAAATAGTTGTCTACATATTTAAACTTACCAGCTGGTTCTCGGGGAATTTACCAGTTGGTTCTGGGGAAAGTATGAGAGTTCAACATTCCTTTCTAAACGGCGGAGTTTTTATAGTGGACATTCCGTTAGCGGCAGCTACGTAGGTGACAATGCCAAGAGTAAATATCACTCTCGACATCTGTGCCGGTAATTATTTTCTTTTCACTAGGACGTAATTCATTGCATTCAGAGCGCCCCGCCGGTCTTTCGCTGGACTGGTATCACGTGACTACATCCTGTTCAGTGGTGTTGTCATGGAAAACAGAAACAAAGTGTTTAATAAAAACACAAACAACTTCAGTATACAAATAAGTGGGGGGGTGGGGGTGGTGGGTGCGCAATTTTTAGTATCGTTTCCTGCTTCAGTATCCAGCGGTGGAACGATGTTCAGATGATTATTGGGGCATCATAGGCGGAACACTTTTGAAAACCTGGTTCAGCTATCACCAATAAATATTGTAAATGTTCCTGCAAATAGTCGCATTAGCCATTAAGTACATTACTCAATCTATTTAAAGCTAGAATCGGATGACTGTTCAATGCTTGGTATCAGATAAATGTTCAACCAATCATTGGAAGCGATTCTGTAGTTCAACTAATCATTGGAAGCGATTCTGTAGTTCAAATGCGATTCTGTAGTTCAATCAATCATTGGAAGGAGATTCTCTAATGTTATTTTCAAATTCTGAAAGAGACCCTCCAATGTACATTTGTGCTTTCTAACTTACAGGGGTGCAACCACAAAGACAAGATGTCCGTAACACTGCACCCTGCAACTAGTGCCTTATGATGGTTAGGAAATGGTTGATCAGGGTTTACCTAAAGACAACCACAGTAATCTCCCCTAGTGTTGGTTCCACTTTTCATATTTCTTTATTAGACACGTGCCGTAAGTGTACTTCTCATTTACCGTGAAAACATAAATATTCCATAAATGAGAGATTCATTTTATAGCTAAGAAATATCGACATTGTTTAACCTAAATATTTAAGAATAATTATGTTTCGAAAAAAAAATTAATTCTGATAGAAAAAATTCACACTCATAGAAAAATGGGTTTACATTTGTTCAACGCGGCATGCTAAATGTGGATCCAGATAAAAATAATTTTATATTATTTTACATTTCTATTTATGTAAATAAATAATATAAATGATAGCGGTCAGTTCGAGGCTCTTGTAGTAACATATTATCATTGTTACTATAACGAATTGTATTAGCAATTTCTGTTTCATTTACAGTGTGCGCCAAAATTAGCAGTGCTGAAATTCCAACATCTTGTAGGCGTATATGTAATTTATAATTGGCGCATTTCTCCAGCCGCCGTCTTATTCCTAGAAGTGGAAAGTAAGTTGCGTTGTACACCTATTGGCAATGGGTCTCTCGAAGAAGGAAGGAGTATTCTTGGTTTAGCATTATTTTACTTCATAGTTAAGTAATCGGAGTGGGTGAACGTGTAAGGGAGAAAACCAACAGATTTCAGGACGATACCGAGACAGAACGATACCGAGACAGAACGATACCGAGACAGGCTTAGAAAGACGACAGCCAGTAAAACGATTCTGGAATCGAAAGTCTGATCGACCAGTTAGTGGAGGTGGGTTTTTGTTTTGTTTTTGTGAGGACCAAACGTTCATATTAAAATCTTGATCCTGGTACGCCATAGCCAAGCTTGCTCCTCGGTACGTCATCCTGGCTCTCATATCTGATTTGATCAAGCGTTGTCCACCACGTATAAGATTACCAAAATACATATATGTCCTTAAAAAATCGGCGAATGGACGTCTGGCTGATGGTTAGCTTCGGTGAGGCCTGTCAAAGACTTCTTGTGGACAAATGCAGAACCCTCTATAGAACACGCACGTGATTCTCTTTATTTGGAAACCCTTACTGATCGTACAGACCTCCCCTATCTTTTGCACTGTAATCTTCCAAAACGCCCCTTAAAGAGTCACCATAATCATAGTAAGAGCAAACTTTGGCTTTTGTCTGCGGTGAATACCACCATCACAGTAAGAGCAAACTATGGCTTTTGTCTGCGGTGAATACCACCATCACAGTAAGAGCAAACTTCGGCTTTTGTCTGTGGTGAATGCCACCATCACAGTTAGAGAAAACTACGGCTTTTGTCTGTGGTGATATCACCCTAACAGTAAGAGCAAACTACGGCTTTTGAATGTGGTAAACGCCACCATCATAGTAATAGCAAACTACGGCTTTTGTCTGTGGTGAATACCACGGTCATAATAAGAGCAAACTACGGCTTTTGTCTGTGGTGAATACCACCGTCACAATAAGAGCAAACTACGGCTTTTGTAAGTGGTGAATGCCACCATCACAATTAGAGCAAACTACGGCTTTTGTCTGTGGTGAATACCACCATCACAATAAGAGCAAACTACGGCTTTCGTAACTGGTGAAAGCAACCATCACAGTAAGAGAAAATTACGGCTTTTGTCTGTGGTGAATATCACCATCAAAGTAAGAGCAAACTACGGCATTAGCCTGTGGTGCATGCTTTAACTAGTTTTGTAATAGAAAAACACACATTTTTTTATGTTACTTTTTTGTTCATACATTACAATGTCGCGCGACTGACACAGGCTCGAGTGGTAACAGTGTTGTCACTTGGGTGGATCATGACACAATGGTACATTCAAAAGGTTACGCCTCCAGCTAAACACACTCTCACACCCTAGTGCAATAAAATGACAGCCTGCCTTCAACATTTCTGTACTCCCATCCGAGTTCTCAGCCGACCTCGTTGAATCAGGTAAGAGGGCTCACCTACTTGCTCTGGTTGTCTGTGATCGACCTGGCGTTGAGTCCAGGGGTCTTTGAAACGGTTGTGTCCTGACGCACTTGCGTGTCACGATCCTACTGTACGTCTGCAAGTTTCTCTGGGGGTGGGGGGGGGGGTCACAGTATTTTGAAATAAAATATAAAAGACCACGTAAACAATTTGGACATTGCACGTAAAAAGTTGATTGGAATTTTTTTAATAACTGTATAATTGAATGATAACTCATTTCCTTGGCCCGATGCGGCTGCAGTTTGAAGACTCATTTCCTTGGCCCGATGCGGCTGCAGTTTGAAGACTCATTTCCTTGGCCCAATGCGGCTGCAGTTTGAAGACTCATTTCCTTGGCCCAATGCGGCTGCAGTTTGAAGACTCATTTCCTTGGCCCAATGCGGCTGCAGTTTGAAGACTCATTTCCTTGGCCCAATGCGGCTGCAGTTTGAAGACTTTAAAAATAACGCATCGAATCAGTTGTCATGTGACTTTATTCATTGTAAATCCTGTGGTCTGTAGGAAAAGAAACTATTCAAATAAATACTATTAGAGCATTACAAAAGCTACGTCATTTTTAGGATACATTTATAAGAATGGTGTTAGCTAACATTGAGGCTACCGTGTGAGCTAACATTGAGGCTACCGTGTGAGCTAACATTGAGACTTCCGTGTGAACTAACATAGAGGCTACCGTGTGAGCTAACATTGAGGCTACCGTGTGAGCTAACATAGAGGCTACCGTGTGAGCTAACATTGAGGGTACCGTGTGAGCTAACATTGAGGCTACCGTGTGAGCTAACATAGAGGCTACCGTGTGAGCTAACATAGAGGCTACCGTGTGAGCTAACATTGATGCTACCGTTATTTTCATATATAATTTTAACGTCAGCTGCCGAGTTTGGTGACTCAATAACCAGTGCTATTTTTAAACAAATAGGTAATCCTAAAACATTTCTAAAATGTTGCAACACTTGTGTTATCTTTTTTCCTGTATGCCATTGACATACTGCTGGTCATCTGCTGGACCATTTCCAGTCGTCTTGACCAAGTCTTGTCATCGGATCAAAAAAGGCCAGGACGAGAGAGTGAGGCTGATGAAATAAGCAAATCTTCCTCATTTCAGACAGTACACAGTTCAAGTCAAGGCTATTACTCAAATCGAAAATTGTCTTTGTCAAAAATAATTGTTGGTTTTTTTTCGTTTTAAAACTTCATTCTAGCTACCGCTAACGTAATCACGATCTAATTTCGTGACTAATCCACAATAACTGGATATAATAGATGCTAAAAATTCATAATTTAATAACTGAGTATTTTTCTAAAAAAATGTAACTTTGAAAATTATCTGTTCCTGAATTACACAAAAAAAGCCACTTAATATAGAAAAGAGAAACGTATTGCCTTAATCTTCGGAATGCTATCGATCCCATTTAATGAATTTAAATTGCTATTCTTATCGACAGAAGTTTGAAGAAAGAAAAAAAACATGTCCTCCTCGAAGCTTCTTGCTCTGCTGCTCGCCTGTCAGCTGTGTGGCCTCGTCCTCTGCGGGGCTGCCATTACTGAAGAGGCGGAACTATCCGAGAAGGAAATTGACGAGGCTGTGGTCACTGAAGTGGAACGGGCTCTGGATACTCTTGACGCCGTATGTTGAATTCGTATGATTTTGTGTGTGTGTCTGATTTTGGTTATATTAAGCGTATTCTAGGGCATTCAATGGCATTCAATGGCATTCAATGGCATTCAATGGCATTCAATGGCATTCAATGGCATTCAATGGCATTCAAGGGCATTCAATGGCAAATACACCAAAAACTATAATTCAAAAAAAAAATTTAAAAAAAACAACAACAAAACACACAAAATCAAATCAAACTCTGTCACAGTAAGATTACGTGGTGTTACTGTGCTGTGTCACATCGTGATGTTCGGGAAATTATGTGGGTGAGCCAGGGTATTTTTCCCTTTTATATATATCCGTTTAATCGCAAATTATACTCCTCCACATATGACCGCGGCCGAGCGTTGATTAAATCCTTTGTTGTTAAAAGATGTGAACTTTTTTTTGTGAGCGTCGGTGAGGATTATCTACTTTATAGAAGACTGAAGATTATCTACTTTATAGAAGACTGAAGATTATCTACTTTATAGAAGACTGAAGATCATCTACTTTATAGAAGATTGAAGAGTATCTACTTTATAGAAGACTGAAGATTATCTTTAACAGGAGAGACACATTATTTTATTTGCTTGGAGAGAATCTGAATTATTTTCCTGGGACCGGGTATTAGATTTTTTTTTTTTTTGTTGAAGCGTAGTGCATCTAAATATTTATGACATGGGATTTAAATTTTAATTTATTTTTTGTCTGCATCGAAACATGTTTTTATCGGGAACGTTAGTAACGGCTTGTTGGACATTTTGAGGACTGAATGTCACAACGTATACTGATAAATAAAGTAATTTCAGATTTTAACCTACTCTTGATTATTCGACTGCATTCTACACATCAGCTTTGTAACAAGGGTTAGAAGGCAGCTGCAAAGTTTTAGAGTCTTCACTGTTTTAAAAGGCCAAACGGCGGGGACCTACTGTAGACAAAGCAGGGAACATACTCCAAGACAATGGAGGGGACCTACTCCAAGACAAAGGAGGGTGACCTACTCCCAGACAACTTAGGGGACCTACTCCCAGATAACTTAGGAGACCTACTCCCAGACAAATTAGGGGACCTACTTCCAGACAAAGGGGGTGGGCCTACTCCCAGTCAACTTATGGTACATACTGACAGACAACGTAGGGGACGTACTCCAAGACAACTTAGGGGACCTACTCGCTGACAACTTAGGGGACCAACTCCCAGACAACTTAGCGGACCTAGTCCTAGACAACTTAGGGGACCTACTTCCAGGCAACTTATGGTGCATACTGCCAGACAACGTAGGGGACGTACTTCCAGGCGACGTAGGGTACCTAAATCTAGACAACGTACCACTCGCCACGAACATTAAAAAAACAAGGAAGACCTTAAGTATCTATTGATAATCCGAACGGAATAGATTTCTATTTGACGCCTCCTTGAGCAACCACGAAAGACGCACCATGGACAAAATAGTGTATTGATTCTCCACACGTGAGGTCACTTTTGAACTTATGGATGTTTGGAAATATCAAAATACATTTACATATCCTAGACAATTCAGAAAGACTCTGGACAACTGAGACATTGCTAGACAATTGAAACAGTTGCTTGACAAGTAAGACAGTTCCTAGACAATAGAGACAGCTCCCAGACCATTGAATTTTTTTTTGAGAAATTTGACCTACTTCAATTTTTGGAAGAAAGCCCCACCCACTAAAATCTCAAAGTGCCTACCGAAAGTATTCCACCGTTCGTTATGTAGCATAGACCGCGAGAATTGAACAGAACTTTTACATTTTCACAGTACGGGGATGAAAGAGAATTGTGACAACCACAGCAACAACAATTTCCATATTTAACAATAAAACTGGACCACAAAATAATAATAAGTAAAGCCACTCACTTACTATGTTTTGAAAATTACATTTTAAATGCGAAAAATCTAAGGGGGTAAATATCCTTATAAGGATCGTAAAACATATGAGCGATGCGTCATAACGAAGGGGGTGGGGGGGCGACCTACCTATTTTAACTATTAACAGTGTTACGTCAAGTTGAAATATCATGTCCTATGTTGTTAGGTTAATGTGAAACATGTTCTATTACAAAAACAATGTGTTTCACTACGCTGTGAGTATTCATAGTAAATACAGTGTGTTCATATTATGTTTTAGACATAGCCTACATTAAGTTTGAAAAAAAAAATAGTCTTAAGCTTCGAAATCTTATCTTATCTTTTTTTTTTTTTTTTTTTTTTTTTTTTTTTTTAATTAAACTCCCTTTTTTTTTTTTTTTTTTTTTTTTTGTTATCTTTTAAATTAACCTCGCTTTTATTCGTGGCTGGCTGGGTGGTGGTGGACTGGCTGTTAAATTTCTTTTCACAATGTTAGAATTGTTTCATTCCTTCCAGTTGTTCAAAGGCGAGAAGCGGGCACCGAACTTATACAGGCGTGGCTGGCTCTCCGACACCTGGGGAAATTTCAAGAACAGTGCCAAACAATTCTGGGATCAGAACAAGCAGCAGATTATATCGACAGGCATAAGTTGGTTTTTTGGAAGGAAACGAGACGCGCTGGACAGTTACTTGGCCCTCAGGCGCTCAGCTGTCGAAAGCCTGGTGCAAGCGCGGGATGTTGGATCGATGACACGGTCGACTGATGGCGCTAAGAGATCTCTGGACATTATAAGTAATTTTCTGACAGCGGTAGATTCAGCTTAGAGTGAACTACGCTACAAAAGGAAATGAATCAGCTATAACAAGATTAGGAGATCATCACAACAGTTTAAAAGAATACCCAGCCTATCAATGTATTTTTTGTGTGTTTTTTTTTTTTTTTTTTTTTTTTGTGTTGTAATTCAGACAAGCATTATACAGTGTAGTAAACAATTAAAAAACTTCAATGAAAATAAAATTGCCAATCATGTGAAAAACTTTAAATTCATTCAGGTGCTTTTTAAAAATAATTTATATTAACTTCGCTTTTTTTTTTCCTAGTGTGTTTTTCTCTGGCTGGGTATGTGAAAAGCCTTGGGAAGGCTAATTAAACCACTTCCCGTCAGCCTATCGAGCTGAAATTTTGCGCAAAGACTCTTAGCCAATAAAAGCACATTCTATCAAATTTTCCGCCTCACCTTACCCGCCACAAATTAGTTTTTCCTCTTTTTTTTCAAAGGGGAAGATGACTCAAATATCATACCCCTGATTTCACGATTACTGCACTAAATGAGATTCTCAAAAATTATCGCAAGTGCGTTTGGTGCGTCCTATTTTTTTCGTTTCTTTGAAATAGTTGGTGAAACAGATATTTTTTTATTTTTTTTTGAAAAAGTGGGTTGGTCATTAGAATATTAATATAGTTCAGGGGCGCCCAGAAATGTGCGGTTCCGGGCCTTATAGGGGGGGGGCGGAAGGGGAGCACTAACTAGAATTTTTCTAAAGTGCTCTACTTGAATGCATGTTTTGTCAAATTTTCAGCCCCACTCCCACATCGCTCGAAATCACATTTTTAAAAAAAAAAGATTTATAAGAAAAAACCTTTGTTTAACTGTTAGTGAAGAGGTTTCTTTTTTTTTTAAAAAAAGATAGTTCAAACAACAGAAACTGTAGTGTATTGTAACATATGCTGCCTGATGTGGATTTCATGATCACGTTATTGGTTGCAGAGGCCCTAACGTAGAGAGGAGGGTGAGGGAGCTGGTAGCCCATGGGGGCCCATGCTGCGGAGGACCCCCCTCCTTATGTTGAGGGGAGGGGGTCCCTTCTTTATGTTGAGGGGAGGGGGGCCCCTTCTTTATGTTGAGGGGAGGGGGGCCTTTTCGTTATGTTGAGGGGAGGGGGGCCTTTTCTTTATGTTGAGGGGAGGGCCCTTTCCTTATGTTGAGGGGAGGGGGGCCCTTTCCTTATGTTGAGGGGAGGGGGGCCTTTCTTTATGTTGAGGGCAGGGGGCCTTTTCTTTATGTTGAGGGGAGGGGAGGGGGGGCCTTTTCTTTATGTTGAGGGGGAGGATTTGCGACCCACAACATAGTTTCTTTGTTTGTTTCTTTGTAGCTTTGGGGTGAGGCGAGGGGAGATGGACAAAAATCGTTGCACTCCACGGTGATCTGATTTGTATTTGATTTGATATTCATGTAGCGCTGGTATCCCTGACACTTTAGCATGCTCACTGCGCTCTGGTTTAGTTAAGTTTATTTAATATGAAAAGTTTTAAAATGTTTATTAAATGATTTTTTTTATCATTTTGAATTCCCCTCACAGATTCAGGCAAACGGTTCCATAATTTTGGCGCTATCGCTTCAAAAGAGCGCACTCCGTAACACTTTTTTTAGTTAAGTCCTGAAGTCTCAGGTTTTTTTAAAAAATCGTAAAGTTATTTTGAGTCGGTGTCATTGTATAAACACTGACAACCTCACAAGACTGACACACAAAACCTTCAATGAGGCGAATGTTTTACAACAGCAGATCTCTGGTCTCGGAAGAGATTTACGCAAATAGCCATTAAACATGACATTTCTTAATTAAAATTATCAAGATTCACATTACATAATATCTATGTCCGGACAGTATTTTTGGTAGACCGATTAGCAGATAAATCGGCCTGAGAGGCTGGTTTCCGATAAAACGGCAAAATGGCCGATCAGGCCGATTACAGATTATTTGCCAATGAATCGGTGCAACCATATTTAGGGGTGAATGCTGCAGTGAACTGGGGAGTAGATCAAAAAGTGGACAAGTGGACCGTGCTACATGATAGAAATGATCTTTTTTTTTTTCAATTTCGCGTCATCTCTCATTGATACAATTTTAAATCCTTTATATTTACTTCACTTCCGTTCGTGTGTTTCTTTCTGGGTTGGCGGCAAAAAAATTTCTGGCGGCTAACTGACCCACTTCCCGTCAACCTTTCGATCTGAAACTTTACATGTATGCACACTGCCGATGACAAAACATTTATCAAATTTTTAGCGCAAACCCCCAATACCAACCAACCCCGACACGTCATTTTTTTCCCTTGTTTTTAAAGGGGAAGATGAAGAAAAGATGATGCCACTGATTTCACGAAATAAAATTCTCGATGACTGCGCTCAATAAGATTGGTAAAAATACTTCAAGTGCGTTTGATGATTAATAATTTCTTTTGTTTTACGGAATTAGATGATATAGCAAATATAGGAAATTAGAATATTAATATAGTTCAAGGGCGTGGAAATTTGTTTGTGGTTGTGAGATTTGGGGGTGAAAGGGGTGGGAGACCATCATCATCAGTGATGCTACAGCCCAAGAAGGCCCCTTGCCTGCTCCACCACATCCTTCCATTCGGATCGATCCATGGCTTTCTACTTCCATGCGCGAACCCCCCAAGTGGTGCAAATCCTTCTCTACATCGTCGATCCATCTTAGTCCTACACGAACGGTGGGCCGTCTACCCCTTGGTTTCTGCCTGTATATCACTTTTGCTGCTCTACAATATGGTATCATTTCAATATATCCGGCCCAGCGCATTCTGTCTTTTTTTTTAAATTGCTGTGGCTATGGGTGAATCTTTGTTTAGATATAACTCTTGGTTTGTACCGATTCTTCGAATATATCATTGTCTATCACTGTGCAATATAATTGTCTGAGTATTTTCCTCTCCCGTGAATTGAGCAGGTTCTCCGCTCTTCTGGTAAGTGACTACTACTCTTATGATAGGGGCATGTATTGTAGGGAGAGTGAGCAGATGAACAACATATGATGCAACGATCTCCTTAGATCTATAGCCATCACTAAGTCGCAGAAAAAAAAAATCATATATGCAGGATTTATACCAAACAAGTTTGTTGTAATGGGTTGTTTAATCTGTGCATAATTTAAAATGTTGTTTTACTATGGTTTTTATTATTTGCTATTTATATGCTACGTGTTTAGTATGTGATCGTGTTAGATTGTGATTGATCTTAGATTATTAAGTATTCCTGCTTAATTTTAAATCAAACTTTCGAAACAGGAAAGATATTTACACTATTAATTCTAGCGTTATGACCACCACCACTTGTCTCCCTTTTATTTTGTTTTGATATTGACGCCAATTTATTCTTGAGAGTACTAACAGGTGATGCATTATCTTTAATTTCTTCATTAGGGGGAGGTTGTTTCTGATTTAATACCTGTATATAGACCAGCAGCTTTTGTACATTTTGTATCTCAATTGAGAAATACAAATTTAAAAAAAAAAAAACTGAATAGCGAGTGCTGCGAAAATAAATGTAAGCTTGACGAAGGAGAAAACTTCTTTCTTCATAATCATGTGTTTGGTATTGGGGCCAGCGTATCCTCCTAAAGAAAAAATCCTAGGCCTTTTGATTTTAGTCCTACGAAGTCTACACCATCGTCACATTGGGTCGGAAAAGTCTACACCATCGTCACATTGGACGGACAAATCTACACCATCGTCACATTGGGACGGACAAGTCTACACATCGTCACATTGGGATGGACAAGTCTACACCATCGTCACATTGTGACCCGATGGATGCCGGAAAAATAAATAAATTGAGCAAGCTAAACAATCTTTTCCAGCCAATCTTTTCTTTGCAAATTGTCAACCTGTGTGCACACTTTTAAATCTCGCATTCACTGTAAGCGCCTGCAAGTCCTGCCAGCATTTGTAAACACAGTCAGCATTTTGAAACACAGTCAGCATTTGTAAACACAGTCAGCATTTGTAAACACTGTCAGCATTTGTAAACAATGTCATTGCATGTAAACACTGTCAGCATGTCGTAAGCCTTGTTGGTGTTTTTAAACGTTGTCACCGTGTGTAAACACTGTCAGCTTGTGTAAACACTGACGGTGCATGTAAACACTGTCAGTATGTGTAAACACTGTCGGTGCATGTAAACACTGTCAGCATGTGTAAACACTGTCGGTGCATGTAAACACTGTCAGCATGTGTAAACACTGTCGGTGCATGTAAACACTGTCAGCATGTGTAAACACTGACGGTGCATGTAAACACTGTCAGCATGTGTAAACACTGTCGGTGCATGTAAACACTGTCAGCATGTGTAAACACTGTCGGTGCATGTAAACACTGTCAGCATGTGTAAACACTGGCGGTGCATGTAAACACTGTCAGCATGTGTAAACACTGTCGGTGCCTGTAAACACTGTCAGTATAATGTAAACACTGTCCGCATGTGTAGAGTCTGTTAACATTTTTTTTTTGTAAACACTGTCAGCGTATGTCAACATTGTGAACATTTGGAAACATTGTCAACATTTGTTTAAACCCGGTCAACTTTTAAAATGCTGTCAACAATGTGCAACACTCTCAACGGTTGCTAACTCTATCAAACTTGGTTCAAAAGGATAACCCACAGAAAAACTCCGTCAAAATATACTAAACACGTTAGCATTTGTTAACACTGTCAATAGTTTTAAACATTTGACTCAGCCGCGTTCTTTTAATATCTCATTTGAGCGAATGAAATTATTTTTTTAGCTAATTCTACTATTTGGGATTTAATGGAATATTTGATTTTTTTTAAAAATGCATTACATTTGTTTTCTTTTAGATATGTTGGTGAAGTTTTAGATCAATAGTTTTGCCCGAAGGATGTTTGTTTACGTTTCGTTTAATGAATTTGTTTTCTATTATTTATTTATTAACATAATTCTGTGGGGTTTTTTTAAAATTGATTTAGTTTTTTATTTATTTCATTGATATTATTATTTGAAAACGCGTGAACGCGTGAAAAAACCAAAATTAGTATCAAGCATTTTTGTTTTACCAGGCATGTTGTTTAGTTATTAATTTTTAGAAAGGGACGTTTTGATGTTAATTAAGAACAATAAAATAAAATGAAACGAGTCTTAAGCGATTAATATACATATATTTTTTGTTTATAAATCGGAAGAAAGGTCATAGTTTTAACATCTCAGCGCTCAAATTCAAGGCATACTTTAAATTCAAGGTATAAGGCTAGGTGTCCCCAGTTGTATATTAGGCTCTTCCAAATGCTAAACGCATTTTTTCAACGACTGTACCAAGCTGGTGATCGTCCCCAGAACTTCCAGAGCCTGCTCCAGTGTCTCGATCTGATTCAGGTACTCGGGGTCACAGAAGCCCGACGGCGCCTCGGCGTCCTTCGCGTCCCTTGACTTCTCGTACAGCTCAGTCCTGTTTCTCCACCACTAGAATGTATCACATTTTTTTAGTAATTGTATTACATTCTCTTTAGTGAAAATATATATGGATTCTCTTTTGTGAATGTATTACATTCTAACTCATTAGGTCGGCAACTAACATCATCCGTGTCATAGGTGGCACCCTACAACATCCGTGTCAGAGTTGGCAAAGTGTGTCGATTATCAATGATACGCGGAAGACAAAACTAAAATACAATAAATGTATTTAAATTCCCCCCCCCCCAA